AAGACAAGATGGTAAGGAGGGTCCTGCCCCTGAGGGCTTTCAATCAAAGATGGAGTGGGAAGAGATACGTCACAGGTAGCTCTGTAGGAATGAGTTGTACGAGAACATGATAGTTGAGTGGTTAGTTTGAGGTGGGATAGACTTCCCTGAAGAGATGAGTCTTAAAGGATCGCCTAAAGGCAGTAAGAGTGGGAGACAGACCGGTTGGGGTAAAGAGTTCCAGAGGATGGGAGAGACTAGTGAAGTCCTGGAGGCGAGCATGGGAGGAGTTGATGAGGGAGATGGAAAGCAGAAGGTCTTTTGAAGAGCAGAGGGGCCGGTTAGGATGATTATTTGAGACAAGGTTTGAGATATTGAATTTCATCCTTTGGGCTATTGGAAGCCAGTGGAGGGATTGGCAGAGGGGGGTTGCAGACACTGCTCCTCCTCAAAAAACTCTACTCGCTTGGCCTACAAGACTCTCTCATGGTTCTCCTCCTACCTATGTAAGCGCTCCTTTAGTGTCACCTACAAATCTAACTCCTTCCCTCTTCTTCCTCTTTCTGTAGGGGTCCCCCAAGGCGCTGTCCGTAGACCCCTCCTCTTCTCCATCTACACTTCCTCCCTTGGTCAGTTAATAACCTCACTTGGCTTCCAATACCATCTCTATGCCGATGACACTCAAATCTATCTTTCTACTCCACAACTCACCCTCTCAGTGTCCTTGCGTGTCACTAACTGACATATCTGTCTAGATGTTGCAACACTTCTTAAAACTCAACCTGTCAAAAACTGAGCTCATGTTATTTCCTCCCGCCCATGCACCTTCCCACAACTTTTCCCTTTGGATTGATAACACAACTATCCAACCCTCCCCCAATGCCAAGGTGCTAGGTGTCATCCTTGACTCAGACCTCACCTTTCTTCCCCACGTCCAATCACTATCCAAATCCTGCTGCCTTCATCTTCGCAACATCTCCAAAATACATCCTTTCCTCACCAATGAACCTGCTAAATTACTCATCCACTCACTTGTTATCTCTCGTCTTGACTATTGCAACTCCCTCCTCATTGGCTTACCTCTACACAGTATATCCCCCCTTTAATCTATCATGAATGCAGCTGCTAGACTCATTCCACTGACTAGTGAGGGTTTTTGGGGTATTGGGGTGACTAGCGCATGTTTTAGTAGAGAGCCAAAGATTGAAAATGTGAGTAAGAGAGTGAAGGATGAAGCAAGAGGTTGACCGAAGTAGTGGTCAGGGAACTGGGTCCAGGGGGCAAATGGTGAGGTGGGTGTCAGAGAAAAGCCTTGAGCGATTTATCGCGCGGTAATTCCCGCGATATCGCGGCAAATTATCGCGCGATATCGCTCTTCAATGCATTTCAATGGGGCAAAGGGTCCTCCTGTCGCGGGTCGTGTGTCGCTACAGCAGGACCCTTTTTGGAGCGGATTTAGCCGCGATTCAAGCTTGCTCAATGCAAGCAAATCTCGCGATATCGCGCAATATGCAAATCGCGCGACAAACGTGTGATTTGCATATCGCGGAGTGTGAATGGGGCCTTAGTCTTTCGTCCTCACATAATTCACCGGACAGTTTTTTCACTTTGCGGTTTCTTTTCTCTCCAAACTTTGTATCAACACCCCAATTTTCAGCAATCTTCGTAGCCTGGTCTTTGACTGTCTCAAAATTAGCTCTAAACAGCTGTAGCGATTCTTTGGCATTCCAAAGGAGTTTTGCAGCTGCC